ACTACCAACTAGAACACTTTTAAATTTACCGTTAAATGCGTGTTCGACGAACAACTTGCGAGTGTTATGTCTGTTTGTCTGTGGTTTCAGCATACTCCTTAGTTTCATCATAAGAATTTTCTATGATTTCTCTTCCGGATTGTATTTCCTTTATTGACAAAATCTCCATGCAATTGTCATCATGGTTGACAAGACAATTTACGCCGTCTTCAACCAGAGGTTGCGCAGACTGAATATTTGACACTAGACAACGGACAACACACCACACCCACTAGACCAGTAGGGAAAGTTTCAGGTTGCCAACATTTGCACCGGCTGGAGCGGAAATCGAACCCTCACTTCGTGGCACTCACAATACGCCTAAATGATGGGTGACGCCGAACGACCCCGAAGCCCACAAATATAGATGTAATTCTACTCAGAAGTAGCTTGAAATTCTCCTTTGATTTCACAAAGAATTCTCCTCACACTTAATTGTGAACTATTTTCAGAATTACCTTAAAACTCCGATAATGTCCAACGTTGATGGCCTTTAATAATTGAAGTAGCAAGTTTAACTTTTTTTTATTAGAGGGTAAATCAATTGCAGTGATATTTTTAAAGCAACATTTTTAAAAAATCTGGGAAAATCTGGAACATATTTAAAAAATCTGGAAATATACGTGGTATGTCTGTGTATCTGGCAATACGACTAAAAATCTGGAAAATCCAGATAAATCTGGAATACTGGCAACGCTGAATGTGTGCAACATGTTGATGGGACGAAACTCTTCGGCTTTGATCGTTCCAGCAACTTTTTAAATAGGATTCGTTTCAAATTTGTGGTACATGTCCAGTCTGCAATGATTCATTAATAAGGTCCAGCAAGATGTGGCCAACAACATGAAAGCAATCTTGAATAGCTCTAGCATTAACATCATCTCCTCCAGCCGAGTTTCCTAATGAAAAGCAAATAACTCCAAGTTCATCTAATGTAATTGAGTGAAAACCTTCAAATCTACAACTAATATTAACTGGCTGCTTTATTTCGTCAGGTTCATCGACCTATTCAATGGATTGATTAATCAATGAAAACCTGTCGACAAAATAATCATTAAACTTAGATACAATTACTTGTTCTGACTGTTCTAATGTAAAAGTTATGGACAGCGGTTTGCAATTACTAGGTTTCAATAAAGTTTTCCAAATTTTCCATAACTCTTTGCTGTTGTCAGGGTTACTTCCACTCACTTGCTATAAAAAAACGTTTTTCAGAATTATTAAATCATTACTCGATGAACATTTCAAATGGTCCTATCTGCTTTGGTCGATTCTCTTAATCGACTTTCTCTTTTCATAACCACTGCTATGCAAACAGATTTCGCGCTAATTCTACCACATGGTTTGATAAAGGAGGTTCTTATCTAGCGTCCAAAACGTCAAATACAACAGGGAAAGGTTTTGCAGCTGAGTTATTGACGAAAGAGAAAGTCGAGGAAGAGAATCGATCAATGCAGATAGGACCTTTTGAAATTTTTATCTAGATTAGATGTTATAATGATAATTACTACTTGTAAGTTACAAGAAGAGGTCGTGAAGTATGTGTTTGACACAAAAAAAACTGTCAATATTGCTTTCAGTGCGCCACAATCAGGAATTTTTCGATTCGTGAACGCTCATTCTGAGAGAACGCTCACGAATCATAAGATCGCTGATTGTGATGCTCTGAAAGTGAAATTTACAAGTTTTATGAGTCAAACACATACTTCACACCCTTTTCCAGTTATGTACAAGTACAGCATACCATTATATTATCTAACGATCTCATAATTCCGAAAAACATTTTTTTATGGCAAGTGAGTGGAAGCAACCCTGGCTGTTGTTTTGATGCTGATCAATCTCCCTCTGGACATATTCACAACGAGTTTTATTATCGATTGTAAATATTTATTACGCATGATTGTGTACCTATTCCAATGATTATCACTATTTGAGCTACAAGACTTTTTGTACGATTTGTCCCTCTTACGTTTACGACGCAAAAGATCCAAATTGTACCAGCTGTTCGAGTTTTTCAAATAAACAAACTATTGCTCAACTAATTGATTGGTACACGTTTTCAATGCGTTAGTTTGAACAGCTGTAGTTTCAATCAGTATGAATGGCAATCTATGTTTTTGGTGGTTAATTATGTTTAAGTTCTATGGCGACCTGATTCCATACAAGTTTTATTCATATCACAGTGTCAGTAAGAGTGAACCCAAGTAACCAAAAGTTCCGCATTCAACAATTAAAATCACTTCCAGGTTCCATAAAGTTCAAATAAAGTTCCGACAGAACCTTCAAGTTCCATAAAGTTCAAATAAAGCTCCCAAAGAACTTTCAAGTTCCATCAAGTTCGAATAGAGTCCCGACAGAACTTTCAAGTTCCATAAAGTTTAAATAAAGTTCCGACAGAACTTTCAAGTTCCATAAAGTTCAAATAAAGTTCCGACAGAACATTCAAGCCACATGAAGCAATCCGCACAAGTAACAAAGTAACAAAATTTAATGTACGTAAATATGAAATATTTCATAAATCATAATTCTTATATTTATGCAGTGCATCAACATTCTATCCAAAAAAAAAAAATATTAAAGGGTAATTTCCTGGATTCGAACCCGTGCGATCTTCGCTTGCTAACCACTGCGCCACAAGTGTGTTGGAATACCATGAGGGCAAACACCAATTTAAAATTCATCAAGGTGTTGTGTTTCGTATTCAAGTCAGTCAGCTGGCACTGAAAAATCCAACAGTAGGCGAGACAACATCCCACTTTAATATATCTCAGATGACGTAGAAGGCCTGGGTTTAATTCTTCAAACAGCTCCAATTCTACTACTAATGCTGATAAATCAATTTACATTAATACCTGCCTTTTGAAATAACTTTCATAAAAGCTTCTTGTTAATAAAAAAACTAAAATAACTTACATAAAAGTGCGAACTAAATATAGAATTGGTGTAGAGGACAAAAACCTTTTTTAACTTATTTTCTAAAAGTTCCGTTCAAGTTCCGCCAGAGGCTGCTTTGAATGCTCTTCAATTATGGTACCGGAACTTTCAAGTTCTTATAACCACTTAAAAATGAGGCTACTTAGAATTCTATAGACCACCTTCAACCAAGCTGCTTAAGCCACAAATAGCCTTTTATTAGAACTTTTGGTTACTTGGGAACTGAATTGTGTTATACATTCTTTTATAACAATTATCGGCAGAAGGATTTAAGGCGGGTGGCGAAGCAGATATGAAAAATCAGAGAGTAGCCAGCTCTAAATTTACCATAACAGTACTGATCTTCGCTATCCAATATTTGGGGCTCATTACCAAAGGAGCCCAATAGCGTTGGCTCTAATCGTCTTTGAAAACTTTTTGTTTATGCAAGTTATCTAAATTTCAAGGATGGAAGAACTTGAAAAAAAAAAGTTTGAAACTTAGAAAAATTTGACTTGAAGCTTGAACATTTATTAAGAAGTTATTTAATATACACAGTGAATCTCAAAATTGACAGCACAGCTGTACTTAAATTTAAGAAAAACGGCTCTAAAATCACAAGTTAAAAATATATGTCTCTGAATTTTTGGCTGAGTATTGGGCATATTTGGTTGAGTTTACAAAATGATAAAGCAATTTAAGAAAATCACATTTTTCCTGAAAAGCCTTATTTTCTTTAAATAAAATGATTGTAACTTCTTGAAATTTTGCTCATTTTTAGTCGTAATAAAGATCATTCATATGCCACTAATTTTACTAAAATTTGTACACTTGGTCAAAAGCTAAAAATCGAGCGTTTTACTAAAACAAATCTATCTTCATTCAGGTTCTTTCAATAAAGACTAAAACTATAGTTATAAATCAATAAACATCTGTTCAACCACCAGCCACAATTCAAAAAAAAATATATCTATTCACTCTGTTTCAAAAAATTGTCCTCTAGGGTGTACGATCAATTTTGAGATACACTGTATATCTAGATAGAGCAGGTATAAGGGCGTAACAGCTTTTGTAAACAATTACTTCTCTTGATGATTTCTCGGAAGCCATGGCTCTCCCTGGCATATCGACATCACCATCGAGTAGAGGAAGACTTCTCCTTCCCGATGGATATGATGGTTTTTGTAAGCGTGCCTTGAATTGCGAGAAATCAACGAGACAAGTCATTGTTTACAAAGGCTGTTACGCCCTAATTTCAGCTCTATCTAGATATATGTTGTTAATGACGCCAATTGACGAGGTTCATATAATTTTCGAAAATGAAATAATATTGGAAAATATATTAAGATAACGGAGTTAGAAAATCAAAAACATCAAATTAATTGTCAAGTGCGTGAAATTAAGATATGCACGGAATAACCCACCTATCACTGTTCAGGATTATTTCATGTTCTGGCTGTACATGTTGTGCTAGGTGAGTTGTGTCCAGTGTCCAGTGATAGTGTAAATCGCAATCTGATATGCAGAGCCAAACAGTAGAAACAAAACACCAAACAACTGCATCGATGCAAGGGTAAAACACCAAATTCCAATATTTGTCAACACTTCTGTCCCAGGCGTCTGTTTCTATCTCTTTCCTATACATTAGTTAATAGCAAAACCCAAATGTAAACCAATGTAACATCATGCTATAAAAATTCAAGGATTTCGAAATAAACGGCACTCTTTTTACGACTGAACAATCAGAAGCTTCTCAAAGCGATCCTCATTCGAGAACACCGCTCACTGAAGAAAACCCCCCTGATCCAAAGGCGATTCCAGGTCCTTGCGACTGGTGAACACCGCTAACTTGGAGAGTTCATATGAATGTCGTAGTAGCTATATGTGCGGTAGTTCCTTCGCAAGTAATATCTCCCGGGCTAATTGCGAGTTGTGTCCAGTGATACTGTAAATCGCAATCTGATAACGTGTTACAAAATAAATAGACAATGTACCTACAGTATGCGCCATAAACAATTGCTAAAATTTTCATACCAAATTGAACTTACCTCGCAGCCATCGTAGAAGGTAGTAGTCGTCATGTTCGGGTTTCAACACATCTGCCACTTGTCGGCGGAACTGTAACGACAAGAGAGAAACAATGCACTGTTAGTCAATTATCCAAAATAGGAAATCTTTCAGTCCTTGATCTAAGCTCAAAGCCAATGAAGCCGGCATGGCAAACACGTTGCCCTTATATGCAGAGACTACTCTATCCGTACACACATTCTAGTGCACTAATTTCCCGGACACGAACTAAGCTCCAGATAGGTATAGGTAGTAGCATAGTAGCTTATGTTATAGAATAACTGGTCCAATATCAAGCGCTTAGTTCAGGTAAGCGCCTAATTACACAGTGCCTCAGTAAATAGTAGCCAGCGCGCGGCGAAGGAGTTTTTGCTGCAGTTACATAACACGGATCTGTTAGCCCAACGCGGATAAAGTGACCGCACGGATGACCTTGAGCGTGAGCTTGAGAGAGTTTTTTTAATTGACTCTACCGGCCGGCGTGACACAAAACACGTGAGAGCATTTGATATTTTTCCGCGAAACATGAACTTCACCTCTCGCGCCGAGCACAGATGGATCGTACCCGATCATGACGTGATGCTTTGAGTGGAGCACTGTCACTCTCTGTGATCACCGGTAACTAGATAGCTGTAGGCAATTAAATTACAGAGAATGATAGGAAACAACAAATTTGCCCAGCTCATTAGTCACTGAATGATACACCCACTTAAGAATATCGCACCGCTGCTGCTGTTGTTGCATTTGTAAGTGCAAGATCTTCTCTGATGATCACCGAAGGAAGGTGTGTGTGCAACGATTTTCTCCCTGATCTTTTCACCCTACTGGACTGGGGTTAATTCGACCTACACAGGGTCCCTCACTGGGCGAGCATGCAATTGATAATTATTGTTAGATTAGCCCACATTACTGTCGAAAATAATTATACAGCAGGCGGGGTACACAGATTGATCGGGTCTTCACTACCGGCGTCGACGACAACGACGACGACAACGACGTTGGCAGTGCATAATGCATCTATGACTGTCGATCGTGCTGATGGAAGCGCAAACGGCATACGTCTAATACCTAGACGCATGCATATTATCTTCTACATATACAGTACCAGACAAAAATATATCACCTGGCTGGTTTTTTTTCTCTCCAAAAAAGATCAAAGAGCTGTTATTTTTCCGGATGAACATGAAATTTGCTGAAAATTTGGCCGCTGGTTGATCAAGATCAGATGGCTAAAAACAATTAAAAGGATGTAACTTTTTTCGAGGTGAATGGATTTTAGCAAAATCAAATGCTAGATCCATATTTTGACTTCAATTGAGCAAAAATTTAGCAAATTTGCGAAGACTACAAATCAAGAAGACTGGCAACTCTGCCAAAAATCAGGAGACAGTCACGGCAAAGCCTCTTCTGAGCAAAAGTGGAACATGTGTATGATGGTGTGTGTTAATTCACGAGTGCATTCACATACAGGTAGAAATAATTAATTGTCAATTATTGGTTTTGTTATGATTGTCGTCGTAAAAAGTGTTTCTTTCTTTGCTTTATGCTGACAACGAGTTAAAATTCCAGCTGAAATTGAACAGATCCGTAAGTAAATTTGTTTTGAAAATTAAAACTATGGCAATGATGCCATTCACAATGATGGTGAGACCTTTGCATTAATAAAATGCATGCCCGTTCCGCATGGCTTTGGCACCTGGCCACAACAGGGGGAGTTAAGCTGTGACGCTCGGCAACTTGGCACAGTACTCGCTGACCACTTGAATGTTCTCTGGCCAATCCGACACTGTTGTCATCATTCTCTGGAAGGGGTTGGTCGATTCCAATAATTGTTAAAGCATACAGAGGATTACTATACGGTGGTTTCATATTCTGAAAACATCTAAAATGGAAATATATTCTTTATCAACACGTTCCGTTTGGGATTGTAGTCCTTCAACCTTTCCTTTTCGATTTCTCCTGCTACGCTTTCCGTTGGATCGTGATGTAGGGTAAATTATGGCTTCGGCACCCATTGACTGTTTTCGGCAACCGAAATTGAAACGTTTATTTCACTGTATTTTCCCATCAAAACTCTTCGCTGAATGTATTAAGCCGATTCCTTACCTTTTCAGCTTAAATCTGATTACATTTTTACGACTGTGAATTCCTGTTATACCATATTTTTCTTTAAATGAAATATACATACTACAAAATACGGCTGATTTCGAGTTGCCGATAATAGAACAGCTGGTTAACACGCAGTTCAAATGGAAAGAGTGCCGAAGAAAAAGAGACTGCCGACAATAGTCACTCTCACCTGAGAAGTTTGGAGCGTTGTAAAAACATGTTCAACCCGTTTCTGTCGGTTGGAATTGGTAGAACAGCAAGCAGCAGATAAATGTCAACAAACAAACCTGTCATGTATGTGTGTGACGCTGAAAAATCGCTAAAAGAAGTTCGGACGCTGCTTAGATTGACGAGAATACGTAAATTCCCCTAGGTACCGGATCTTTCTTCTTTTTGGATCCTTGAATTTTCAGCAGCTTTCGAATGATGGTAGTTCACTCAACGGAGGTGGAAGCCGCCAATTCCTTATAATTGATTGCTTCCAACAGGCAAAGTAAACCATATTTCGGTTCATCGTACACAAGTAAAAGTCACTTTCATTAGGTATCGATCCGAGTTCCAATCCTGTACTTGATCCACCATGACAAGTTTTTCGGTTTGGAGTTGGAAAACCACCGGCTTGATGTGATTAGGGTACCAATTGCCGTGAAATTTTGTAGAGCAAAACAAGAACAACAACGAGTACCGTGTTACGATTATTCGTTTCGGTGACATTAGGTCACACACACACAGTCACTGTTAATGAGCAGTCTCACTAACACTTGTGCTTCAAAGTTCCACCTTTGATTGTCAGAGGCGCTGTTTCAGTGACGTTTGACATTTGTATGGGAGAAAGTTGCCAGCCTTCTTGATTTGTAGTCTTCGAAATTTGGTTTATTGTACTTAAAGGATATACCAAAGAGAGGCGTTTTACTAAAATTGCTCAAACTTCATACAGATTCTGGCAGGCATGGAAAATCATTTGCATTCATTTCATGCAATCATTTACATTCATTTACCTCTAATTTTTTTCATCAACAGCAATTCGCAAAATGATGTATAGAGCTTTAGTAGGTTTTGTTATTAGCTACAACTTTTGTCCGTAACTCAAATCTGTATCTCTTATGCATCACAAATTAGAGCGGGCAGAACATGTAACTGTTTTTCAGTGAATGTAAAATACATTCACTGAAAAACAGTAGTGGCTTCTGTTCGCTCTGGTTCGTCATGCCTGGATTCTGCCAATCAAGCACAAAGTTATATCGATAATGCTTGGACCAACCAGCATCCAAGATTTTAGAGGACTTCATATGCAGGAAAAGCTACAGCTCTTTGAACTTTGCTGGACAGCAAAAAATGTGCGGTAATTATGTGCGGTACTGTACACTGTAATGATACAGATCGCACAATGATGCGCTGGACGAGTGCAAATTACAGCGGATGGTGGTGGTGGCTCGATTCGGTCTGGTGAAAATTGATGATTGGGTATCGTGATGGATTTTACTTTCTTCCTAATTTGTTAAAATTGATGTGAAGGCAGTGATGGATGCAGCAATGGACTGAAAGCTGTTTCATTGATATTCCTCCATGTTTCGCTTTAAGCGGTTTTCATTTGTGCTGATCGCAAGATATTCGGAGTTTAATAAGTGCTTTCGAAGCGTCGTAGAGAGTGTTTTCTACACCCTTGGCAATAAAGTCCGTTTTTTTTTTAATTAGACTGACTTTCAGCCAGTGGCTGGTCCATTATTAAAAAAACGCCCCTTTTTCTAATTGATTGAATAAGCACCTGGTTTTGGAATAGAAAGAACTTAGAATCAAAACTGAGAAGAAATATTGAGAGCTATGGAAATTTCCCTTGAGTTTATTTATTTTCTAATGTCTGGCATATTAAAATTTTTACCAAAACTTTGTCCCGGAAAGTCGAAAAAATGTCAAATTCCAAAATCTAGAAAATGTCTTTAATTTGGAATTTTGAAAAAAAATGTCCATCCCTAATTATTTATTTTAATAATTTTGATGGAATTCTTCACGGGTTTTATTTCAAACTTTCTCAAGGATCCTCTTTGAATCATCCCCCTCAAAGAACTTGTCCAAATTTCTCAAGAATAATCTTGGAATTTTCCCTGTTATTTATTCCCTATTTATTTTCTCCATATTGCTTTAAGAATGTTCTTCGAGTTCAAATTCTTCCCGTTAATTCTTTTTAATATTCTCTTGGAATATTTTTTTAAGATCTCACACATTTTAGGTCATGGATGGGTTGAAGAATGGCGGTAGTCACGATGGGACGTGTTTGATTGTGTGGTTTGGTGGTTTTGATGCGGTGGTTTGACGCAAAATCGGGGCGATCCGGTGAAATATGAAGGAGAAAACAGTCGATTTAAAATGCAATAGAGATAGCTTAAAAGATGTGCAATATTTGTACGCTCTGTTAGGGGTACGGTAGCCCCTAGTAGTTTTATAGATTCTGTTCCCATCTAACGTAAGGACCAAATCGAAACAACAAACGTCGCGTAAAAGTAGAATTTAGTGAAGCTTGAGTTTCATTCAGGTTTAAAAGATCATCGGCTATAGAGGCTTATTCTTGTGTAAAGGGCACCGCCTTCGAGCTTGAATTGAATAAAGCCCAGGTCCTATCATATTAAGGAGACTTATGGTAACATCGCTTGATTATCGTGTGTTTTGTGAAACTTAACATCGTCATCAACGTCACCAACGGTTTTGAATGGTTACAGTAACAATGCGATCGTAGCTTGTATGATGTGATATGAGAAGCTTGGTGGTCTTAGAGCGACCATTTTTGCATGCTGAATAGAACATCATGAGTTTAATCTCAAGCCCCTCCACATTCAAGATACGTTAATTGCTTGATTTGTTAATGTGAATACAAAGGAGATCGTTTGCCTAGTGCCTTACTGAGCAAAGACCGTGGGTTCAATTCCAAGCTCCTTCGCATTATAGGA